CCCCTTTCCCCCCTTGGTACCTGGTGCCTTGTGCCCTGATTGTCTGGTGACGTCCAAACCTTGTGCCGCATGAGACCCTTGTCCCTGGGACTGGTGCAAGTAATGAAAAGGGTGTCCTGTTCCTGAAGGTCGTTCAGTCAGAGGGCGATTTTCTAATTGTGAACAAATTCCAGCCGCCGCAGGTTCCCTTCCGGCCGGCGGTGCAGTCTGACAGCAACCCATTCGCCGGTAAAATGGGGAGATGATGTCGCATCGCGTGGACGGAAGGCTTGAAATGAGCAAGATTGATCTCTGTGATGGCATGTCGAGCCAGATTGATGGACATCGCCAATGGGTCGGTTCGGGCGTGTTGCCTCGGCCTTGGGGAGGAACACATCTCGCATCGTCCCCTCACTCAATTTAACTCGGATGGAACCTCTCTCTCTTGGGGGGCAGAGATCGTCACCCTCATACTGTGCCACTGTGGATCAATTATCCTGGCTGTGAATCTCGTGCTGGTGCTGCTTGTGTCCTGGCTTCCCTGGTTTAACGTAGGTAGCAACCCTGGTCGCCGTTGTCTGCCGCTGCCAGCGCGCGCAGTCAACCAGGCTCCACAGTCTTCAAGGAACGAAGCCCTTCGCACTTGTCTGAGCTCTTTCTCTCTCGCCCCCTTCTGTTGAAGGCTCTGTTGAAGGCAGTTGTCATCGTCGTGGCTTGGGTGCCGGCCATACCCTTCTCCTCCTTCTGCCTCTGCCTGTCCCCCTATTCCATCTCATCACCAACTCCTTGGTTCACACGGCATCCCTCACCTTGCCTTGCTTGCCTCAGCTGGTTTTCCTTCGCCCGTCAACCTGCTAAGGAAACCAAGGACCACCATATACGCCAAAAGGCCCGCGCGCCCCCCTGGCCTTCGCCCGACAGAGCTAGCCCGCCTAGTGCTAGCACTGTATCGGTCAAGCAGCCTGCCTAGAGTTTCAACCATCTGGACTTTGTGCATTTGGAGCGCTTCATCTCAAACCGCCCCAAAAACCCCACTGCGACCTTGTCGACAGGACTCGAGCCACCAAGCAGCCAGTGTTGAAGGCAACCAGCCGCCTCTTTTCCACTCCGCCGTCGCTTGGATTGATCGTCTTTCCTCCGCTCTCCTTCCCCCTTCGTGTGTTTCCTCGTTCGCCTCCAGTCACAAACTCTAGCTCCAGCGTCTCGGGTCACCCAGGCCCAGCGTGCGACAGGACCCATCTGTTTCCCGCACCCATCCAACCCATCCCGCTCCAAGCCACCGTCCATTCGCTCGTCCACGCACCTTCACTTTACATTGGATGTTAGGGTGCCCCTCTGCCCTGCCGCTTCTGCTTCAGCTGCGCCAACCGTCCCTCCTGCCCTCGCCTTGCGTCTTGTCTCCCTGACACTGGACACCGCACCGCAACGGGCCTCTCATCCCCCATCCCCCTCTCCTCAAGGCTCACCGACAGCCCGTTTCCACGCTACCAAGCTTTCCAAGAAGCCAAACCATCCAAGCACCGACCGAGCCGACGCACGATCCCGCCGTCCAGTCGCCGCCGCCACCCACGCCCCCCCGACCTCCTGGCTTGAGCCTCGAACAGCGAACAACGAACGAGCCGCACGTCCGCTGTCGACGACTGCCTTTCATGCCCTCCACCTCCCACTAGTCCAATTCGCCTACCCTTCGTCCTTTGCTCGTCAGCCTCACCGTCCATGACGCTTGCCCCTCTGCGTCCTTGTGTCTGACATACGCTGGTGGAACGAAATCCGGTTTCTTCGCCTTTCGCCTTCACCGGCGAGACCAATAACCCTTAGCATACGACATGGCCGCCGTCATGGACGACTATCTCGACAGTCCCATGGACAACGAGGACGTCTTTCCTTGCAAAGGCTGTGGAGATGTACGTCTTTCCCACTGCCCTCGTATATTGTGGCCCCCCTCTGTTGTTCCAAGCCACTGACCGTGCTGTGCTCGGCCGATCTAGATCCTTGAGGAAGGCAAAGCGTTCGAACTTGGTATGTCCTCGCATCTCTCTTCCCTGCTTCCCATTGCCCTTCCACATGGTGCTACACAGTACATGCTGGCTCCCCTTACCAACCTCTCCTGTCCGCCCGCCCTCGCCTCTGGTCATGTCGTCACTTGCGCCATGCCGTCCATCATCTCCAAGTTTCACCCCGCTAACACTGATGCCTCTCCCTCAGCTGGCAACCGATGGCATCTCAACTGCTTCCGCTGTAACACCTGTGGAACTCTGCTCGATTCCGATGCGAACCTCCTCCTCCTCGGCGATGGCTCCCTCATCTGCAACAGCTGTACATATAGCTGCAATGCTTGCGGCAGCAAGATCGAGGAGCTTGCTATCCTCACCGGCGATCAGGCCTTCTGCGCAACCTGCTTCCGCTGCCGCAATTGCAAACGCAAGATCGAGAACCTTCGATACGCTAGGACGTCTCAGGGTATCTTCTGTATGAGCTGTCACGAGAGTCTCATGGCGAGACGCAGAAAAAAATCAAAAGCGGCAGCACAATCCAAAAGTCGAGAGAAGGACTCGTCTCCCATGATCACCGACAAGTCCCTACCCGCTCTCCCTCCCAACGCAATACCACCCAACGCCTTCTCCGACACGCGCGTTGACCCCGAGTCGGACACACCGACCGAGCTGTCGCCGCGACCTCGCGCCGCCTACCGGAACGATGCCGATTCGCGGGGCAGTTCCCGGCCGGCGCGCTCTCCTGAGCGGTCAACCGAGAACAGTGGCAAGGAGACTGGGCTAGGCCTACCTGCCGCGAGTTACCGGAACAACCGCAACTCGGCCATCATCGCCCCGCCGGATCTGAACGGCGGTGACGGCGACAGCTTCTTCATCCCTGTCGCTCTCGATCCTACCCCTGCCACCTCGACCCCGCGGTCCATGTCGGACAACTTGAACGATCCAGCGAAGAAGAAAGAAAGGGACTACTTCAGCGTGAATAGGACCAATTCGCAGAAGAGAACCGAGTCGCAATCATCAACACCGCACATCGCCTTTCAAGAAAAGGGACGGCAGTCGTCATCGGAACTGGAGCATGCCAAACTTCCCTCGCGCAAGGCTTCGACCTCATCCAGAAAGGATTCGGCCGCTGCTCTGAAGCCCTCGCCCGCCACTGACGAAAAGTCGCAAAGAACGGTCGCGAGTAACCCTCAGTCGATCAACGAAGACTTCAGGTTGCAAGACGCACCAAAGAGTAAGAAGGCTGCGAGCTCACGAAGCAACACCTCACCAACACTCCAGTCAGACAATGGCAGCGCCAAGGGCTCGAACGGCGTCTCGAGGCGGGAGCCGCCGTCTGAGTCCCCTCCTCGTCCCAGCATTGGTGACATGAGCGGAACGTCGAGGTCTTCCCTTGACTCAAGAAGGCGTGACGAAGACGATTTGCGACCGTCGCTAGACTCGATGCCTTCATCGCGTCCTGACGGCACCCCCAATAAGCCCATCGCGAGGAAGGAATTGCCAGCAACTGCTTCACGGATTGGTACGTTTCGAGTCACAGACCTTTGCTGATTGATTCGACTTGACTTGACTGACTTGCGTCGCAGCTCCATCAAAACCCCATTCGAACTCCCTATCAAGAACAGTGACCGAAGAATCAGCACCTCCCTCCAAGCTGGCACCAAGTCGCCCGCCCATGACTGAACAAAAGCTCAGCGACAGTTACATGCAACCGCGGAAAGCTCCTCCTCACCCCGGAGCGCCAGGGGCCTCTCCTTTGCCCTCTAAGGAGCCTGTTGGTACCCCTGGTGATGGGAAGACTGACGGCAAGACGGATAAGGAGAAGCATTCCCCCAAGCTTCCTAGGTGGAGCTCAGGTGGTGATTTCACCATGGATGAAGATATGGCCAGAATCTTGGGTACTGACGAGGGCTCCTCGTCTATTTTGCGCCGTGTCTCGAACGCCGTGCGCCACGGCCGAACGAACAGCACCGAGGCCAGCCATCCCCCGCAACGCGCCAGCGGACACACCCGTAGCGTCAGTGAGACGACTCGTGGCACGGCTTCTCCTCGATGGCCCAAGACGCCAATGGTGTTGGAGGATCCAAGTCCGGGCCACGAGATCAGCAGTCCCATTTCCCTGCACTCCAGCGACGACCCTGCCTTCCTGAAGCGGCAACTTCGAAACTCGGAGCAGCGTGTCGCGGAGTTGGAGCGTCAATTTAACACAGAAAAGGATCTCAAGCATCTCAACAAGAAGCTTGTGGAGAAGCGAAAGACTGTCTCGACACTGGACACGCAGACTGAGATCATGATCCGTCAGCTGGAGGTTCTCGCGGGATATGTCGAGAAGGCCAAGGAGACCAAGACGCCTGTCGATCCAAGGGACTTGGAAGACTCGGCTATCAAGGACTTTGTCCAGAAGCTGGACAAGGTGAAAGAGACCATGAGCGAAGCTATCGAGGTTCTTCACGAGGAGCGAGACGAATTGGTTGAGGAAAAGAACAAAGTCATTTGCGTATCCGAGACCGAGCTCTGCTCGAGTTCGAGCAGCTTTCCTCGAATACTGCCAGTCTGCTTATATTAACTCTATCCTGACGCATCAGATCCAGGAGCGCTTCAAGTCTCAGATTGGCGATCTGAAGTCGCCGAGCGGCCTTGGCATCTACAGCCAGAACAAGGGCCTCTCCGGCTCCTCGCTCAACCTTGCCGGTGACAACGGCAGCATGACGACGGGCACGACTTTGATGGCCCATGATAATGAGGAGCCAGCAGTTGTGGAAGCGAGGCCTCAGGTTGTCGACATTCGCAAGGGACAGGTCAAGAAGTTCAACTGGAAGAAGGGTACCAAGATGGCGCAGAACGTCTCCAAGGGCCTTAACCGCGCCGTCGTCGCTTTTCAACAGGAACGAGAAGGACGGCAGCATCCCGGTCTGACGGCAGACAACATTGGCATGCCGTACAACATGACGGTCTCTCAGGTCGAGGCCCCCGCCGCGATCACCCCCAATGGACCTAACAGGCCTCCTCCCAACCAAGGATTCGGCTTCTTCAAGAAGGACAAGATGCCCAAGTCCATGTCTGCCAATAACCTATCCGCTCAGACCGTTCCCGAGGCTCCATCTGTCTTGTTCGGCTCCGACCTTGCGGATCGCGCCGACTACGAGCGGCGCCAGATCCCCAGCGTAGTTACCCGCTGCATCGAAGAGGTTGAGCTTCGCGGCATGGATGTAGAGGGTATCTACCGAAAGACGGGCGGCAACTCGCAAGTCAAGATAATCCAGGAAGGCTTCGATAAGAACGAAGACTACGATATTTCAGACCCTGAGCTAGACATTACGGCTGTCACCAGTGTACTGAAGCAGTACTTCCGGAAGCTTCCTCAGCCGCTCTTGACGTACGAGATCTACGATCAGATCCTCCAGTCCAATGGTGAGCCTCTCAACCAATGTGCAAGATGACCAATGCTAAACCTACCCAGCGTTCGCTGACACGCCAACCGAGCGTTGTGATTTCCTGCGCAAGACTTTTGCATTGATGCCGCAGCAGCATCGTGATTGTCTCGAGTTCCTCATGTTCCATCTTGCTCGCGTTGCCAAACGCGAGCCTGAGAACCTGGTCAGTACCGGAGCCGTGAACTCATTGTATCGGTTTGCTAATTGTACTAGATGTCACCCAAGAACCTCGCCGTCGTGTTTGCGCCCACCATCATGCGAGATACCAGCCTTGAGCGCGAGATGACGGATATGCACGCGAAGAACTTGGCTGTTCAGTTCGTCATTGAGAACAGTCACACCATCTTCACCGAATGAATTGAGTCGGAGTAAGGGCGCTCACGTCTAGACTCATCCACACGAACCCTCCTGTATATAACTATACCCATCCACCCACCCCCTCCACGACTTGATGCCCGGGCCCTGCCTTCATTTCAGGTTCCTTGAGGAGTTAGCTACTGCGCGGAGCCGGTGGTTTTGATATCCCGCTTGAAGCCTTGGATTTTCCATTGAGCTCTTTCAAATTCATTCGCCTTGTCAAAATCCATACCATGCGTAGAGAAGCGTGACAGTTTGCGTTGGGACATTTAATGATATCCGTGCTGGGTTTTTCTTCTTCTTGGATTTCGTTGAAAGCGATTTTGGACACTGAGGAATTGTTCGTAGTGAGAAAAGGTGCCAGAATGACATGGCTGTCCCGCCAGCCACTTGTGTGCGCTATGCGACCGAGTGGAGAACCAGGCCAAGCAACCAAAGATTAAGTTAACAGAGTATCACGGAGAGGCAGTTGTAACCTGAAGTCTGCGTATAACGACGTTGCTTATTGCGAAAAAAGAACGCTGCATTCGCCGCCTGTGGAGCATTGATTTGTCTCGACTGCTTTCTATATCCGTCCGTCCCTAAACACCCAAACGCCGCCCGTAGCAATGCATTGTTTTTTCCATGATGGATTCGATTCTCTCCAGCCTATGCGCCCGTCATCCTCCGGACCTTCTCCAGCAACAGGTTGCTCTCGCGGCCCAGCTTGCGCTGGCCGTTCTCGCCGCCGCGGCGTGCCTTGGCCATGGCGCGGCGGTAGCGCTCGCGGTCGGCGACCTTGCGCTCGCGCTCCTGGGTGCGGCGCTCGGCCTCGGCGGCGCGGGCGGCGGCCTCGGCGCGGCGCGTCTCGGCCTGCGCGAGCTGCTTCTCGTAGTAGCCCGGCTTGTGGCCGCGGCGCTTGGGGTTGAAGTAGGCGCCCTTGCCGCGGACGCCGGACGGCTCTGCTTGCGTCGTGTCGTCGGCACCGGAGGCGGCGGCGGCGGTGGGCTTGATGCGGATCTCGTTGGGGTTCGGAACCTCGCCGTCGTTGTCGAGCATGGCCTGGCGGTCTGGGTGGAAGGCGTGGTCTTCGTCTGGGTTGGCTGCCGCGGCAGGGGCGGTGGGGGCTGGTGCGGAGGGATCGGGTGCCGACTGCGACGGCGAGCCTGGAGATGCTGCGGCGTCATCGGGGCTGGTTGAGGGGGCTGAGGGGTCCTCTGCTGGAGGGGAAGGGGGAGGCGGCGGCGCGGCGTTCTCGTGCTGGGCGGGGAGGGGCTTGGAGGGTGCGGTGGCGGCGAGCTCTCGCTTCTTGATTTTGGCGTAGGCCTTCTTGACCTTTGCGTTGGCGATCAGGCGCTCTTTCTTCTTGGTGACTACGAGCAGCCTCTGTCAGCGGTGACACGGGTTTGCGAGTTGGCGTGAAGAGGTGAGGTGGGGGGGGAGATAGCATGGGGACGTACGTTGGCGTTTCCATGGGCCGTCAGGGAGGTTGTCGGGGCCGACCTTGAAGCCCTTGCGGTGCTTCTTCTGGGGGGCGGAGGAGGCGCCGTCGTCTGTGTCGTCGCGCGTGCGTTTTTGCGGCGCCATGATTGTGCCGTCTGGTGGTGGTGGTGGTGGTGGTGACGATGGTTGATGTGAAGTGAGTGAGAGAGGGGGCGAAGTGGAGAGTCGGGGCTTTGGGTAGTGGTCTGCGAGCTGATGTATTCGTGACGTTTTGGACCAAGTTGAATTATGATGCCTTGTGCCAGTTCCTCGGTCGTGTCGCAAAGTAGAAGGCCGAGCCGTGTCGTGAGGATGTCGCCCTGGAAGCGATGCTTCTCATCTGAGGAGGATTTTTTTGAGGTTGGGATGAGAAAGTGGGGTCCCTCAGCCGATAAGAGAGTCCGATAAGACACCTCTGGATTTGACAGAGACACGGCCAGCCTGCCACCTTGATCACCTTGATGCCAGCACTTGCAGCAGTAGCAGAGCACCCCAGACCCTAGACGTCCAGCGGGTGATGCGCTGAAATGGGTCCCTCCCCAGGGCCCTGCAAGCCCGGGCCAGGTGATGCAGCGGGTCTGTCTTAGGGGCATCCTTAGCGTGTCCATCCCCGCCGGCTGATAGGCCGCGCCTCTTCGCTAACCCCAAAGAGGGCCCTGATCATGCAGCTGATGGAGAAGTTGGGCTCCAGAACATGACGATATCGCAGTTGGCAGATGCATCTTTTTGCATGCCGTCTCCTCCACACCAAGGACCCTTCTGACCGCCGTGTGCTCCTTATCAAAGGCGAGCGGTCTGCCCTCTGTGGTTCATGGTTCATGGTTCATGGTCCATCGTCCATGGCACCTTTTTTTCTTTCGCGACTCTTTATTCGGATTCCTCTACGTCGGACTGAGTTGCCAGCCAGTACATGTACAAGGGCCGCTGGATCCAACCGAAGCATGACGCCTTAGTACCTGCTTAGTACAGTGCCCACTGATGACGTCCCTTGGTCCCCCATCTCGGCTCTTCTGTCACAGCTCTCTATTTGCCTTTCCGCCTTGTCGAATGACTAACAGCCACACCACCTCCAACAAACAACACATTGCACCTCATGACAAGGCATGACGGAAGACACCCCTGCAAGCCCTCACGCCGCGAAGAAAAGCTTGCCTTCTGAGCCGCAGCAGTGCTGTGGCTCGGTATAGCACTCGATTGTACCGTCTACATCTTCGCCATGCCCATCTTCCAGGCCGACCTCGAGCTGCTGCTGGAAGGACAAGCTCACGATGCTCCCACCGAGCCGAGCCCTGCCACGGCTGGTCAGGCTCGTCAATCTCGGCCAGCGTCCTCCTTCCTCCACCCCAATCTGGAGCAGCCAGCGCTGTTGAGAAAGCTGTCGGAGGAAAGCATCCGCACCGAGCTGTGCGAGGGTCCCGTTCCCGATAGTCCCCGACCAGCAACTGCAGACGCAGACCTTGAAGCGAGCACTTCAAACCGTGCAGAACTAATTGAGAGATTGAAGAGGGGAGAGTCTCCTACCTGGATTCCTGCTCGTCGTGTAAGCTCCTTCTGGGGGGGCTGGCCTCTAGTCAAATGACAATCACTTACATTCGACCAGCTCGAGTCGTTCTATGACGGACCACCACCACCACGCCAAACCCGGAGCCCACGCCCACCAGCCGATACGTCCTCCCTCCTCCCACCTGCCGATATCACCCCCGAAAAACTGAAGGACGTCATAGCCGTGGATGAGGAAGCCAGGCTGAGAGACGGGTTGAACATCCAGAGGCCGAGGTCTGCCCTACATAGCGGTGACTTCACCCAAATCCACGCCCACGCCCACCCTCTTCGAGACAGCGAAGACCGGACCGGACCAGCCCCATTACAACCCCCTACTCACTCCTGGATAGCAACATCTCCGCCTCGTGGGTACTCGCCGTTCGATCTCAACCAGGGATTGTCGGTTCCGCGCAATGACGACTACCAATCCATACCGTCATCATTATCATCCTCCTTCTCCTCCAACTTTGCTTACAGACCGCCCACGAGTCCTCTAGTACAATCCGAAAGCAACGACGAGTTTGACCTGGTGCAGCCGATCCGCAGCATGAGCTCTGCTTCCACGCCAGCCAGCCTCCGACGACACACACTGACTTCGAGTCCCTCACCCTTTGCTCTGCCGCCGAGGTCGGCACACTTGGGAGGATCCTTCTCGCACAAGAGAGAGTCTTCGTTGCCCTATCAGGCGCACCAGCCACGTCGTTCTCTCACCTCGACTCCCAACACGCCATGTCTGGGTCCATCGCCCTCTCCTCAGACCCCCGCGTTTCTCCGTTCGAGGAGACCATCCTTTAGCGATGCCTCCCCCTTGCAGCATGCTTCCATGGTCGGATCGTACGAGGAGAGTATTCTTCGCGGCCGCATGTCCACCAATCCGTCCAAACCACTCGACTTTCTGGCCCAGATTGGCGTTCTGGGCCTGGGAAAGTGTAAGCCCAGCCTGAAGTGCCCATCTCACGTGACGCTGCCATTTCCCGCCGTGTTCTACAGTTACGGAAGCAGTGCTGTGACTGGCCGCTCGCCCATGGAGGATGGACCGAGTCCGTATGTCGGTCAGATCGATCTCGAAAATGGCTTGCCAAGCCACGGCGGCGAAGATCGGACAAAGAAGAAGATGCACAGCCGGTATGCAGACCGCCAGGCGGCTGGTCAAGAAATCGGATCGCCGACCATATCCACCGAAGCCTTGGATCGGGAGTCGCACAAAGCCAGCCGCGCAAGGAGACGGTCAGGGTCGCCTCGAGCTCCGCCGGGCGGTAGCTATCGAGTCCCGGAGAAGGGACAGATCCAGATTGTCATCAAAAATCCGAACAAGACGGCGGTCAAGCTTTTCCTGGTGCCCTATGATCTGGCCGGTATGGAACCCGGCACCAAGACCTTCATCAGGCAGCGAAGCTACTCGGCCGGCCCCATCATTGAGAACGCACCCGATGATCCCGCGGCCAACAGATCCATATTACGCTACCTTGTTCATCTGCACTTCTGCTGTCCGTCCAAGGGCAGATTTTACCTCTACAAAAGCATACGCATTGTGTTCGCCAACAGAGTCCCCGACGGCAAAGAAAAGTTGCGCAACGAGACAACCTGGCCCGAGCCCAAGTTCTCCACATACAAGCCGATTCGGGTCATGAACCCGCCCCTCTCGAGTACCGGTCCCGGAGCCATGCTCGCCGCAGAGAAAGCTTTCCGGCGACGGAGCTCGGGCTTCTCATTTGGCCCCTCCGTGCAGGCCTTCGACGCCATGGATGGGGTCATGCACAGTCGGGCCCCGGCGCAGCACTCGTCGCCATCGCTGTTCAGTTTTGGGGGCAACACGCAGCCCGTGGACCCCATACCGCTCAGGTTGCCGTCGAGGAATCGTCTGGGCAGCGATGTCAGCGACAGCACTGACACGACAGGCCTGACCGGTCTGCGATCCCCGGGTTCATCGCAGACCAGTCGACCAACGACCAAGGACGGCCTGGATGCGCAGATTGCTCGGTACGAGAAGCTCAACAAAGGCGATGTCGGGTACGGAGGCAATGCCTTCGCTGGGCTTGGCCGGGGAAGCCCTTCTGGGACTGAGGGTCTCCTTTCACAGCGCTTGCGCTCACTCGGCGTTCAGGGACAGGGTAGTCCCCCGCCTGACGACATGGACTGAGTCTGCTACGTTTACTTCCATCATTGGATTATGGAGTTTTTCAAGGGTTTTTTAAAAGAGCATCTGGGAGGAGTTGAGTGACACTTCATTTTGTAATTAGACGACGACGTGCCGAGAACTAGCTCGGCCATCGCATTCAGGGACTCGGAAAGCGGTTCGGAGCTGGACGACGGCCAGCCGGTGAAAATAACTATACTAGCAATACTATAACAACCTCTCTTATCATCATGGGGTTCCGAGACATGGAACAACATTGGGAGTGGAAGGTGGTGCTGTCTCTTGAGTGGCAATGAGGCTGACTCCTTCAGCGATCCCTTTTCAAGTGCATCATATTGGAACTGTGCCTGCCGGGCTCACGAAGACATTAGGGCTCCTCGTTGATTGTTCTTGTTCTAGGTGTCAGACTGGCAGTAGGTGACAAAACAAAATATGTCAGAAGATGTCTGAGTAAGGAGACTATTGTTTAGCCTGATCTTGAACTCTATCGAATTCCGTATACCTCGTACAGAACTCACAGCTTATACAGTAACATGATCTCATTTTTGAAGTTCAGCGTGACACAGTTCTATTACTGATCTTTAGCTGGCTCCGAGCCATACATCCAGAGGGGAACAGCCTTGTACCGGAGACTGGACTGAGATCCTTTGCAGCTCCATCCTGACCATGCGTAGACCTGCTTGTTTAGATAAATCTTCGAAATTTCCTACCTCCCCAATACCTATTAGCGAACGTTGACGATGCGGATTGAACGAATTTCCTCGTGGGACTACTGTTCCATTATTAAAAATGTTAGTCTTCTTAATGCTGATATTTTTGTTGACGATATAATCCCATTTAATTCCCATAGCACTGACCTGCGATGGCCGAGGTGCTCGACAGTCACATCGCTGTCATGTATATAAGATACTACTGGATGCAGACGAGGTCATAGAAGAAGGTGAGACTCCAGCTCGTGTTGGATATGGACCTTATACCTGGCTGACCCTTTAGTGCCGTAGTTAACTTGAGCCTCCCTCGAGAACATAGTCGATAGACTGCCGCATATTCTTCAGGCCCGCGCCCATCTGAACCAGAAAGCTGCGGGACCCGTGCAGGGGAACTTTGCTGGAGTTGCCGAAACACATGACGAGCGGGATGCTAAACATGCCAAACTCGCCGACATGCACGCTTGCCACTACTTCAGAGCTCGGGACGAAGTCGGCGCGACCGAGGGGCTCATCGCTCCTGTCGCATGCTTCCTCTCTCAGTATTATGTCACCGTAGAATTCAACAAACTTAACCAGCATGCTGATACCCGTAAATACCGCTGGGATCCAGTTCAAACGGTACAGAGGCTGACCTTGCGAGTGGAGGATTCCATCGGCAGGGAACATCAGACGATCTCGCGGGACGGCACCCCTGAAACGCGGATCGCCACTCGCCCGACCTCACTGTCAACCTTTGTCTGATGAATATCAAATACCCTCGTTTCCAGCAAGCTGTATTCTCACTGGCCTGATCGCGTAAGAGCGACGCATTGCGACTTGGGGAGGAGAACCATCTCATGAGGCGAGTCGAAGGCCAACCGCCGCTCACGACAAGATCTTCGCAAAACCACCACAGGCTCAGGAAGTCATGATGACATTTCTTTTTACTCGTAACTCTCGTCTCCCGTCTCCTGCTCGTATCGGCTGCTGCGCTGCCAATACCAATAACCCCTCGATCCCCAGACTTCCTAGACGATCTCTCGGGCATCACCGACCATGTCGTGACGATCTCGATATCCGTCGTCCGCGCTCTCAAGACAGCCATCCGAGACGACGCGCTGGTCAGAAATGCCCTCGAGCCTTTTCTTGACGGCAACGACACCGCGTCGGCAACAGCGGTCTGCCCGGACGTGGCAGTCCTCTTCGCCCGCGGCGCCAAAGAGCCAGGCAAGTCAATGTCGCGTTCGAAATCCGTTACACGACGTCCTCCCCCCGACTGTAAGATGACAGCCAATTAACCATCGCTCCAGGAAACGTCGGCTTCCTCGTCGGCCCGCCCCTGTTCCAGGCCCTGGAGACGTACATCAACGGCACATCGCCCCTGGCGATACAGGGCGTAGAGTACGGCAGACTCTCGCGTGCCGACGCCGGTGCTCGCGTGGCTGCGTTCGCGGCCGCGACGACGGCGCGGTGTCCTGGATCGGGGATTGCCATGGCGGGATACTCGTTCGGGGCCAAGGTTGTGCGGAGCGCGCTCGCTCGGGGCAACAGTACCGTCAGGAGCGTGGTGCTCTTTGGCGATCCAGAGGAGGGGGCGCCGGTGGAGGGTGTGGATTCTCGGTTCGTGAAGACATTTTGTCACGAGGGGGATTTAGTTTGTCAGCGTACGAGTCCTCCGGCGACGACAGGTGCTGGGGACGACGATGGGGTGGCTCGGGGGGAAGGGCAGGATGGGGAGTTTCCGAGCAGCAAGAAGAGCGTGGTAGGTCCGCATCTCGATTACAGCCTCGACGCCCCGGCGGCGGCCATGTTTGTGATGCAGAGGAGCGGACTTGGGGTTGCGAGTGATGATGCGATGGACGAGGGGATGGCTGGAACAGTGGTGGGCATGGTGCAGCAGATCATGAAGAATGCCAACGGGGGTATAGACTCGAGAAGAAGATTAACAAGGTAGAAATGATTTCAGGGGATGATTGAATGTCTAATGCGCATAGTAGTGCGTATGCAAAAATGTCTATATGCCGATTCGTCATGATATCACAACAGTATATCCTACACCATTTATACACGTCTTTGAATGTCGGAGCGAACCCGGCTGTTCCATCACGGCAACTCACTCTCGACCGTCTTCCGCGACTCCTCCTTGGACAGAAAAGCGCGCCATAACCTTGGGCACTTCTCTTGCACGCGATGGAGCTGTGCCTCGATAGTGCTAGACCAGGGCGCCTCGGACTTCAGAACAACATACTGGTCGCGCAGCAAGTTCAGCGTGATGCCGTCAGGCCGTAACCACCGTGGCGCATTGCCTCTGCGCCGCACTTCGATAGGCAATGTCTTGGGTTTGCTGTGGCCGCGACGGTGAGGCGCCCAACCGCGCCAGCCAGTCATGAGCATGTTCTCGCAGTAGTCGCATGCCTGCTCCCACTGGCTCATCTCCACGAGCGCGCGGCAGATGTAATTCCAGTTGCGGCTGTCAAGTTTGAAACCTGCACTGGTGACCTTTTCCACCAGGTCGGTGAGCCCTTGATGATCCTTCTCAGCTGCTAACACGCGCTGCATCGAATGTACCGGACCGCAGAGGTCGTAACGATGACTGGGAAGGATGCCTGGTTTTTTGTACGTCTTGGGTCGGCCTTGCGCCAATGCTTTCTGCCAGGCGACTTCCCATGCTTCCTTGACCCGGTCGTGTTTGTTATCCAGGAAATTCGCTAGCATCATCGTGTCGACTAGCGGTAGTGGGGTGGATGCTGTATGATTCGACCCGCCCAGCATTGCCTTTGAATACAGGTCGAGGATCTCATGGACCGAGGCAAAGTCTCCGGACTGTGCGAGAACCACCATGGCGCGCTGAACAACACGAGCATAGGATCCTATCAAGTTCTTGTCGCCAGGTTGCCTCATCATCCAGCGATCGGAACCAGAATCCATGATCGGATCCTTGTATTGGCTCTGAAGCACTCTCTGAAAGTAGTCAACAAGAGACTTGCCCAGCTCGTGTGCTTTCTCAGGCGTGAGAGCCACCCGCTTAACGTCTCCTTCTTCGCCTCGGCGAGCAGTCGATTGCTGCTTCAGCAGGGCGTCCACCGTGGCGATCGACGTCTCCATAGACATGGGATAGCCTTTCTTTTCCATCGCAGCGCGGATAGCCTCGACCTTCCGCGGCTGGCCGGTCCGCAAAGCGCTCGACATGACTGTTGCGAAATGCTGCTCGGTGACAGGGAATGATTTGTCTTCCAGTGTCGATAGGAGAAGCTGGTATGCGTGGTCGGTTTGTTTCGTGTAAAGGAGAGACTGCAAAGCGAGATCGTACGTCACTGCGTTCCACTTGACGCCGTGCTCAGCCATGAGGTCCATTGTCCGGTATGCGCCTCCCAAGTTCCGCCGATGTGATTGATACTTGATGAGACAATTCCAGAAGTAAGCATTGTCTCCTTGAACTCCTTTCCTCGTTGCAGAAATGCAGGCTAACTTGGCTTCGTGAAAGCGATCGTTCTGGCAATACGCCTCGACCAGGCCGTAGACAATGGCAGCATCTACCTCCACTTTCAACTCTTGAGCCTGTTCAAAGAAGCTCTCGGTCCTCGCCAGGTCGCCCTTGCCACCGGTCATGGCCATGATGGTACCGAAGCTGACCGAATCAGGAGCGACAGACTCGGAGAGGTCCTCGAATGCTTGGATTGCGTCGTCGTAGCGATCCGCTCTGACGTAGGTTTTGAGCAGGATGTTCCAGCTGACAACATCCGGCGTCACGTTGTACTTGACTGTCAAGTCATCAAAGACCTGCCGCGTATCTTCTGGGATGCCGCGATTGCTGTATGCGTTCAGGACATGATTGAACGTCTCAGGATCCTTCATAATGCCTTTGTGATGTCCTTTGGCCACGTATTCGGACCAGAGCCTCTTGGTAGACCTGACATCGCCGCGTGAGGCATAAAATTTGAGGTACTTGCGGAATCCCCACTGATCAAGCTTGCCGTACGAGCGATGGAAATCCTCATAGACCTGCTCGAGACCTGCTACGTCGTGGGGATAAAAAACGTCGAACATGCCATGTAGTATACGCCAATTGATATGCTTGCTGAGCTTGCGGAATTCGCGGTAAATCTCAGCCATATGCTCCTCTTGGCCTCGTTCGACGGCTTTGTTGAGATAGATCGAGTACCACTCTGAGTGGGAAATGACCTGAAGGAGATGCAGGGCTTCGTCCGGCTTGCAAGGCTGCACCAAGGCGCGCTTGGATGCTTCTCGGAGTAGCCTGACAAGGCCGTCAGTGGCCTCAGCATCAGACGGAGCTGACCTGGGCCGGTTTCTCCTTCCCTGTTTCGGCTTTGCCTTGGGACTCAGATCTGGCAGGCCCTCAAATGCCTTGATGTTCTCCATGAATGCAAGTACTTGCGTGCCTAGGTCTGGAACTGCCAAAAGTGGTGACAGATCGCCTGCTTGTACCCCTTTCGCCGCAAACAGGTGTCTGTAGGGCGTCCAGATCTCACGAATGAGATCCCAGGCCGAGTGTCGAAAGGCATGGGCAAGGAGGTGCCCAAGCCCACCCACCAGCTCCCGCTCCTTGAGTGCCGTATGATATATCTTGAGTGCTCTCTTGACATCGCCTTGACGAAGCTCGGCGGCCACTGCTGCAGTCAGGATGGGGGGCGTCCAAGAGGACGGGTCCATCTCGGAGAAGAGGGCGAGAACGCGATCGGCGTTGGCGGCTGACGTTGATCGGTGAAAGTATGCAATGACTTCTGGACGCAGATCAGCCCTGCGTTGGGTGTTCAGCTGCCGCCACAAGTCCCAAATCTGCCCAAAGTACTCGGCGTCTTTCCGTGCCATGAGCTCCCTCATCAGTTCTGGCTGCGCGTCGGCAGCGGCGGCGACATGCTGGCCATCGTATTGCTCGGCATATTTTGTGTGGTTGGCGACAGGCGCGATCGTTTGAGCCGATGGTGATGCAGTGGAAGGGGCACCATGTTCAAAGATATCCGCTGGTTCGGGGGCGGCATGTGCGTCGTGGGATGCAGAGGTGAAGAGCCGAGTCGTGCCTTGCTGAGGCTGTCGCTGGGCAGAGGATGTTGCAGAAGCGGGAGTCAGGCGCCGCAGGAAAGCCACGGTGCCTCGGGGGTAGAGAAAGTCGAGGAGAAAGGCCGAGGCGACGAGCCTGTCGGGAGTATGAGACGAAGCGACGGGCTCCCTCATACCCTGTGTATCGTGACCGTTGGGTGCCCATAGACTGGCCAGGTCGAGGGGCGCAGCGCCATGCTGCCAGAAGCCGGTGTGAAGGTTTCGCCGAGCTCTGACGGACGATGGAAGAGAACGTTGAAAGGTGCAGGGCTCCAACGCGGCAGCCGTTCTCTCCAGCATGGGCGCGGGTGTGTCCAGACGTCCAGACGGTCCTCGACGATGAGACGGGAAGTACGAGGACTAAGGCATGAGATATGGCATGCTGATGATGCGGAGGTGTTTTATGCTGTTGTCAACAGTTTTGAGGTGACGCTGATGGGGATTGAAGCTGTCTGCAAAAAGCTCTCGGGAGAGGGACCCTGCATCGAATGATCAGTCGATTGCCTCGCTGCAGAAAATCAATCGCGGTCCATCACGAGCGGGAGCTCGGACCACCGTCACGGCTCCACCACGAGAAACACGCCTTTTGCCTTTGAGCCACAGTCAGCCACAGCCACAGCCTACCCTAATTCCAAGGCGAAGGAAGAGTGAAGACAGTTTTGCCCCACCAACCCCCGCCAGACACTCGTTCAGTGAAGTGAATGCTTGGTTGATTGAGTGGCTCGACCAAGACGTGCGACGGTCCGAGATCACAGCCTTCGATCCTCCGAGCAGTCCTCGTTCATCAAACAGGCAAACAGGCAAACAGGCATTTGGTATTCGCGGCAGTCCGATCGATTCCATCCTTCATCGTCACCAACGCACCGGAAGAAGCTGCCGGCATCCGTCTCGAATCTGCCCTCGGGCGCTACCTCTACCATGGATATCACCAAGTTTGTCGTCTCTGGGCGGGACGCGGCACTCCTGTACGGCGACTATGCCACCTACCAGACGCAGCTGGGCAAGAAGCTCCTGAACTGCAGGAAGAAGCTTGGGATTGTTACCCGGAACAGGGGGAAGTTCCAAAAGAAGGACGAGGTCACTGCCGAGCAGATTGCGCAGAACCGCGAGTATGGTCTTGACCTCCCCACCATCTTGCCCGCCAGCTTGTTGACCCCCCCTCTCCCAGATACATGCATCTCCTTCTCCTGACTAGCGAAAGAGCCTGGGCCAATGCCATGAGCATCAAGGCTGCCCACTCTGCCGATACCGACGGGATCAACAGCCGCACTCGCAAACATATTGTCTCACGACTCGACAAGGCCGCCCGCACCGCGGAGACTCTTGTCGAACTCTTGGCTGAGGACCAAGCTGGCGCCGAGAGGGATGATAAGCTCGAGGCCAAGGCGTATGCTGCCTTGATCAGGGGCGCCGCGTCCTTCGAGAAGCAGGCCTGGGACCCCAGCGTCAAGGCCTACGCCGTTGCGCGCATCATCTACAGCGCCCTGGCCACGGCGGCCAAGGGCGACATCTACAAGGACCTCCTCTCCGAGACGATTGACCCGTCCATCCGCTATGCCGCGTACCAGGCAAAGACGCCTCGAACGGTCCCTGTGACGACGATTGCGCGCAAGGCCTTTCCTCAGTCCGATGCATGGCTCGTCCGACAGCTCAACGGTCTGAACCCCAACATTCTGAAGCAAGAGACTTCGGACTCGGCGGAGAAGTCGTCGGGCTCGGAGAATGCGCCAAAGACCCTGACCTGGCGCTCACGCGAAGTGAAGATTGAGGATGCGGCCATCTCGCTGGCGTGGGGCCAGGTGCAGGAGGCCAAGGCAAAACTCTCTGAACAGCTGGCTGCCCTTTCTGGGTCCGACCCTAAGACGGCGGCTGGTGCCTATGATGATATCCTTACGGCGACGCAAGATGCTGTCGACGCAACGAAGGAGGCGATCGACGAGCTGCGCGGGGAGGGCGTTGCCCAGAGCGACCCCCGCATGCAGAGCCTGCAGATTACCAGGACGGCCGTCAACTACGAGATGATCAGCTGGCGAATCGGACGCAACCGTGTTCTGACTGGTGAGCATGACGGTGCCGAGGAGAACTACCAGCCTTTGTCGCGCAAGAAGTCGAGGAAGGAAACCGCAGAGATTCGAAAGCGCAAGGCAGACCCGCCGAGTCGCCAGATTGCCAAGCTCCGCGAGCTTGTGGCTCTGTACGAGGGCATCCTGCAGAGCGTGCAGTCTGTTCGGGAACTACCTGGTGTGGCTGCTGATGAATCGCTGGCCCACCAGCTGGACGCAACGACCCAGTACTTTGGAGCTCTCAAGTATGATCATCTCCACCACTCGTCATGTGCGCAGCAATGCTAACCTTTGTACAGGGCCCTCACGATCGCTCGCTCGCACAACATCGTTGGCAACCCCGTCAATGCTCTCGCGCTGATCAACCACGCACGCGACGAGGCGCAGGCCGCGGCGCCCGCCCTCGCCAAGGTGCCCCAGCCTTCCGCCGGCTCCCCTCGTAACATCCAACCTGTTACCGAGGACGCCGAGTACCTCCATGATTTCCTCGACGGCGAGCTGCAGCGCCAGCGCGCTCTCGTCCACATCTTTAACCTCCAGAAGGAGGCGGCGAAGGCTCAGGAAGCCGACGGCCGGGCGCCTCCGCTCATCGAGCGCCTGCACCAGTACCCCGTCGGCGGCGTTGACCTCACCAACATTGTCGAGATCCCGCCGCAGGTTGCGCCCGTACCCGTCAAGCCCATCTTCCTCGACATCGCCTGGAACTACATCGACTACCCTCGCGAGGGCGGCGCCGCGCCCGAGTCGAAGCCTCAAGAGAAGGCGGCTGCTGAAGACAAGACCGCGCCGCCCGCACAAAAGAAGGGCTGGTTCGGCTTTGGAAGGTGAAAAAAACACGGCCCGTTTTAGCTGTCAATCATATCATTCATCGTGTTCGAGGCGCGCCGACTTGCTGTGACCCAGTGCAGTGCCCATGTTCCACAACCTGCGACATGTATCCTTGTTGCCCAACGGGCGAGATGGTGCTCGTAAAGCAGTTTCATCGTTTGATGACCAGAGTGAAGGTGTTGTGCCGATTGACCTCAACAAAGAGCCCTCCTAGTCCAAAACGACCAAGCCATTGTTTTTTCTTGTGCGCTCATGTCAGGTACCTCCTTTCTCATTGCAGCATGTGCTCCCGCAGACGGACATAAAGGCCCTTCGACCACCCGTCCTCCGTCTCCCATTCTCCCCTACTCAAGCCCACCACTCGAAGGCCGAGAAGACCCGACCGCAGCAGGCGACAGTAGAGTAACAAGGTACGACTCCTAAACCACCCCTCCCTGGCTAACAAGTGCTAGGTCAAGCTCTAGGTCTGAACAACTTCAAGTCATAAACCATCCCGCCACCCGGCCAGGTAAAGTCCCCCTCCCCCCCCCAGGCTAACAAACGCTTGGTGAATCGCAAGAGGCAGGTAGACGGAACACAGCGTCACTCAAGGTACGTTCCCTCCGCAACCCATTTCATTGACATTAGGCAGAAACACAAGAAAAATGACAAAGAACACATCGTCACCCAAGGTACGTGCCCTCTACATCCATCCTCATTGACATTAGACAGGAACACAACAAAAATGATACAGAACACATCATCACTCAAGGTACGTTCCCTCCGCATCCATCCTCATTGACATTAGACAGGAAGACAAGAAAAATGACACAGAACACATCATCACTCGAGGTACGTTCCCTCCGCATCCCATCCCCATTGACATTAGACAGACAAAAAAAAAAGACAGTGTATATCACGCCGATCTTTTCCATCTGCCGACATATCATGTGGTCATGGTGTTTCGCACAGTAGTCTTCTTTATCTGCATTTGTGCTGGGCACGACAACACTCTGAAAGACAAGGCAGCATGGCCTCGGCCCGGTCGCCGGCCTTGAAGCTGCGGGCTGCATGTGGCTGCTTGTTTATTCTTAATACTGCGGCTGCAAGAAAGGACTCCGGGTTTTGGTTCATAGATTGCCGTCCTACTCACAACGGCCGAGCATGGCAGGTAGTCACAACAGACCAATTAATTCTTGCAAAATAGCAACATGTGTCTATGGTACAATGTAAATTCTTCTTGAGAGGGGATGTAGGATTATCTGCGTCTAGCTACTCAACAGCTTTGTACATTTGCAGCCGCCCAATGGTCCCCCGATCCATGCCTTCATGTCATGAATACCACACAGGTATCTCGAGTCAAAATCTTTTTCATGCTCCAACGCCAGTTTCCCTCTGCCCGCGCGCGCAAGTATTAAAAACAAGGTAAAAGGGGAGGGGGTAAAACAAGGGAAGCGTGCCGGTTGAGGAATATGAGTACAGTTGAGAATACAGTGGGGGTTCGAAGGCCTTTCTCGGCCTTCCAGCTATTCAGACACGATCCTAGCATGTTGTTTTGTGTTGTTTTCAGTTTGGGTACAATGGAATTTCCGTTTTTTTTTGGGATCCAGAAGAGACGAGGGACCATTTAAGGCTTCTTCTCCTCCTTGTTCTCGGAGGTGTTCTCCTGGGAAGAGGACTGCTCGCCAGAGTCGTTGCGGGCCTTGTGCATCTTGTCGAAGAGGTTGAGGGAAGCGACCTGGAGGTCGTCGGTCTTCTCCTTGATCTCGGCGGCGGTGGCGGTGCCCTCACCAGCGAGGCTCTTGGAGACGAACTCGCGGAGAGCGGCAATCTTCTCGCGGATCTTGTCGGCCTCCTCCTTCTCGAGCTTCTCGGCGTACTCGTTCAGGGCACGCTCAGTGTCGTTGAGGACGCTGTCGGCGCGGTTGGCAGCCTCGATGGAGCCCTTGCGCTCCTTGTCGGCCTCGGCGTACTTCTCCGAGTCCTCAACCATCTGCTGGATCTCGTTGTCAGACAGACCAGAGCCGGAAGCAATGGTGATGGACTGGTCCTTGTTGGTGGACTTGTCCTTGGCGTGGACGTGGACAATCGAGTCAGCGTCAATGTCGAAGGTGACCTCGACCTGGGGAACACCGCGGTGCGCAGGGGGGATGCCAACGAGCTGGAAGTTGCCGAGCATCTTGTTGTCACGGACAAGCTCACGCTCACCCTGGTAGACCTTGATCTCGACGGCGGTCTGGAAGTCGGCGGCCGTGGAGAAGACCTGGGACTTCTTGGTGGGGATGGTGGTGTTGCGGTTGATCAGACGAGTGAAGACACCGCCGAGGGTCTCGATACCGAGAGAGAGGGGAGTAACATCGAGCAGGAGAAGGTCCTTGACCTCACCAGAGAGGACAGCACCCTGGATAGCGGCACCCATGGCGACGGCCTCGTCAGGGTTGACCGACTTGGCGGGCTCGCGGCCGAAGATGCTCTTGACGGACTCGGACACCTTGGGCATACGGGTCATGCCACCAACAAGGATGACCTCCTGGATGTCCTTGGTCTCGAGGTTGGCATCCTTGAGAGCCTTGCGGACGGGACCGATGGTCCTGGTGATGAGGGGGTCCATCATCTTCTCAAGCTGAGCACGGGTGAGCTTGAGGTTGATGTGCTTGGGGCCGGAGGAGTCGGCAGTGATGAAGGGCAGGTTGACGTCAGTCTGGAGGGACGAGGACAGCTCAATCTTGGCCTTCTCGGCGGCCTCACGGATACGTTGGATGGCCATGCGGTCGTTGGACAGGTCAATGCCGGACTCGTTCTTGAAGGTCTGGACGAGGTGGCGGACGAGGTGGATGTCAAAGTCCTCACCACCCAGGTGGGTGTCACCGTTGGTAGACTTGACCTCGAAGACACCGTTCTGGATCTCGAGGACGGAGATATCGAACGTACCACCGCCAAGATCGTAGACGGCGACGACGCGGTCGGCGTCCTTCTCCATGCCGTAGGCAAGGGCGGCGGCGGTGGGCTCGTTGACGACACGCAGAACGTTCAGGCCGGCAATCTGACCAGCATCCTTGGTGGCCTGACGCTGAGAGTCGTTGAAGTAGGCAGGGACAGTGACGACGGCGTTCTTGACAGGCTTGGACAGGTAGGCCTCGGCAGTCTCCTTCATCTTGTTCAGGACGAAGCCACCGATCTGCGAAGGGGAGTACTTCTGGCCACGGGCGGAGACCCAGGCGTCGCCGTTGCTGTGCTGGACGATCTTGTAGGGAACCTCCTTGATGTCCTTCTGGACCTCAGCATCGGTGAACTTGCGGCCGATGAGACGCTTGGTGGCGAAGAGGGTGTTCTCGGGGTTCACGACGGCCTGACGCTTGGCGGCAACACCGACGAGACGCTCACCATCTTCCGCGAACGCAACGACGGAAGGGGTTGTGCGGGTACCTGTTGACTTGGTTAGAGCATGCCACTGGGGTTACGATTTGGCGCCGTGTGACTGGTGACTGACCTTCGGCGTTCTCAATGATCTTGGGGATCTTGCCCTCCATGACGGCAACGGCGGAGTTGGTGGTACCTGTGGATGGCGTGGTCAGCATGACTGTCGCGGCGATGCGCCACAAAGCTTCCGGAAAGCTTTTCATGCAGGCACAAAGGAGGCGTTGATGACTTACCGAGATCGATACCGATGACGGTGCCCGTCACCTTGCCCTCGGCTTCCGTTGACTCATAGCGAGCGAATCTGGTAGCGAAGGAAGGACGAGCGAAAGCAGCAGCGCGTGCTGAGGTAGCTCGGGGAAGCTGTCGAGGAAGCTCAGTTAGCCGGCTGTTGGAGCAGGTTGGTGATGCGCGCGTGCGCGAAGAGCTCAACTCGACGCGATGGCGCAGACGGACTGAGACTTACAGCTCTGGAAAGACGCGAGGCCATCATTTTGGCTGTGCTGTGTGGGTAGGAGAGAGGGGGGGTATATAGAAAGAGACAGAGAGATGGATTGGAGGAAGAAAAGGATGATGCACGCGGCAAGTGACGATGGAAAGGGGAGGGTTATTATTTGGGGGGGATGGAGGAGTGATGATGGCAGTAAGGAAGGAGACGGGGACGAAATTTTTTGGGCCGAGAGCAATCATCGCCCCCAGTCGTAGAAGCCGACCGAAAGCCGCAGGGGCCCCATTCCAATCCCCCCCTGTCCCCACAGCCATTTGCACCCATTTGCCCGGAGGAACAGTGCCGCCGTGTGCACGTGACTGACTCTTCAGGGATCAGGGCTCATGCAGGCTGTCGTCAGTACTGCAGCCTGCACATGCGTCCAGCCTCGTCGTTGAACATGCACTGTGATGCGTCCAGCCTCGTCGTCGAACATGCACTGCGATGCGTCCAGCCTCGTCGTCGAACATGCACTGCGATGCGTATCATGCCATCAAGCTGCTTGAGCAGTCGGTAAAGACACTACGACGAGGGTTTATGTCACAGCATCATGGCGATATGGAATGGAGGTCACTCACAGAACTGGCCTCGTCCCCGTTGTTTCTTCATGTTGAGAGAAGATGCTGCATGAACTATGAAGGCATCCTGGCGAGGCTTCCGTGATATTGAAGTGGAAATCGTCATGGAAGTATCTAGGGAGTCTTCCCAGGACAACTCGCAGCGCCGGAATCCTGTCAAGTTCAAGTCCTGAAAACAGGCAAGCATGCTGAAGTTGGATTGAATTCTCACTTGTCGTGGGTGTACTCAAATGTCCAGCTGATTCCAACCACTTATTTCGGACTTCCGGTCCACGCTCACACGGATGGTATGCACGCAAAAGAGCTCCCGACCTCCTCTTTCATATCCTAGTATACCAGCAAGGAGAGGATATTCGACATGTCCAGTATCCTTTTTAGAGTATCTTCTTCAGAGGCGATCGAAGAACGAGCACGAGGTCCACCGCGTGGATAACTTGGCAAGCTTGGATAGTGGATGGGATTGGAATTTGGGTCTATCAGGATCACCGTACAACACTTTGCAGCGGACGATAGCTTGGATGGATAATACAGGGGAGAGCCATCGGGCCCCAGCATGATTCCCTTTTTGGGACGACGACTGAGGTATTCAGATGCTGGACCAACATGCATCCGGGTGATTCTGACAAGCACATCAGGCGAATGCCGCTGTAGCTGAGCTCTGAGCTCTGAGCTGCATTCATTGAATTGTAGGATCCGTCAAGATGGCATGGACATGGTGAACGTGGCGATTGTAGCTTCATCAGCCGAGATCTCGATGTCGAGATACTTCTGGCCGAGATACTTCTGGCGTCAGCAACACAAGGCGGAGGTCGAGGTACCGCAGGCGATGATGCAACCCCCAGACTGGCCCCTCCATGTACCCTTTGATTAGGTGTTCGCCCTTGACATCTCATCGACCAAGGCCATCACTGCTCTTCACCCACATTCCGTCCTCCTCTCCTCCATTTTCATTCGTAACATTTACAGTGGTCGTCAGCGACACGTCACTTTGCTTCCTCGAACCTCTGCCTTCCACCAAAAACAACATCTCCCAGTCTGGAACCCCTACCGTCTGCATCTCGCCCCATTCCGTCTCCGCCGTGTTCCTGACCGAATCCTCACGCCGCAACTGCATCGGCATCGGCATCGGCATCGGCATCTGCATCTACAGCCGCATCGACGCAAACTACATCTTGATCATCTACCGCTGCCGTCTTCCAGCTCGCCTCAGGCTTATCGTCCTACCACACACTTGCTGCACGCTGCACGCTGCACGCGCCCGCCCGTCCTTCCGCCCGCCGCAACCCAAAAGTCGACAAGACGACAAAACGACAAGGCGACAAACAACAACACGAACAACAAGTGATCATCACTGCAAGCCTGCAGCAGCAACGGCGTCGCCAGCCTTAACTAGGCGCCAGCATGGCCGTCAAGGACGGCGTCTCGTACGACCTGCTCCCTCCTTCTCTCCCCCAGTCGACCCTGCATAGAAACATAGAAACATACAAACATACAAATACACAAGCACACACAAAACACTCTTGTTTGCTCCATCCATCCCGGGGACCAGAACTAGAACTAACCCCTTCCCTCTCCTCTGTAGATGCTATCCGACCGAGCGCCTGATCTCCCGAAAAGCACGACGACACTATCGCATCCCTGTCAAGTCGCAGTACGTCTCCCACTGCCGCTTCATCGGCATCATTCTCTTTCGCCTCTGGAATAACCTAGCCAAGAAGCTGTTCGCTGACCAACCTTCTGCGTGACCCAGACACTGGCAGCTGCGATCACTCATCAGCGCCGATGCCCACGATAGCGTGTATTTTCCCGGCGGCAATGGCGCCAACCACGTCCAGCGGCTGAACACGGCGACAAACGAGTGTGAGACTGTGCGGCTGCTGTCCTTCTCCCCACGGTGCCTCGTCGCCCAGAACGGCTGGGTGTGCTGCGGCGGCGAGACGGGCGAGTTCACGGCCCTGCAGGTGCACGACGCCCACGACGCCCACGACGCCCACGACGCCCACGAGGCCCACGACACCCTCAGCAGCGCCGCCAGCCATCTCGGCGACCTCCAGTCGAGCTTTGACATCGACAGCGACTTTGCCCGCATCGGCCTGGCCTACATGCGTCCAGACGGCTCCGTCATCCCGGGCACGCGCCTGCTCCCCCGCGCGAGCAAGACCTCGACGGCCAAGAGCATGAAGCTAGCGCGTGATAGGGTCAACTGCGTCACGCTCTGGTTCCCCCCGGACATGGCGCCGCCCGCGCCCGACCGGTACAACGAGCCCGTCGCTGTTCTCGCCAACAATGACAAGACGGTCGTCGTCATCAGCCTGCACGACTTTGAGGCCAAGGACAAGACGGAGCCCCTCGACATGGTCACATATCCCGACTACGTCAACCGTTCCCTCTTGTCGCCCGACGGCCGTCTCCTGGTTGCCATCCTCGACGACCCCTACCTCTACATACACCGGCGCGTCGAGAAGCACGACGACCAGACGGCCGCCGGTGACAGCAACGCGACCGCGTATCAGTGGGAAGAGGCGAGGAAGGTCTTGCTCAAGAGCCAGCGCAAGGGCGACCTCTCCGACAGCCGCGGCAGCTTTGCCGCCTGCTTTTCCCACTCGGGCGCTTATCTGGCCGTCGGCACCCAGTACGGCACAGTCTCCATCTTTGACGTCGAGACCCTGACCGATCTCGACGCCGACCCGCTGCTGACGACCTTTGACTCGTCGCGGCCCATGGTGAGCGAAGGCGCCATCCGCGACATGGCCTTTTGTCCTGGCCCCTTTGACCTGCTGGCCTGGACCGAAGATCGGGGCCACGTGGGCGTTGCCGATATCAGGTCTGGATTCGCGCAGCAGCAGATTCTCAACATCAGCGCCACCGACGACTTCAGCCACATCAGCATCCTCGACCGAAACTCGGTCGACCCGCGGCTGCTCGAGGGCCGGGGCGAGCGGAGCGACAATCTCGCCGCGAACCTGTCTTCGTCGCTGAACCTGTCCGACCTGCGCCGCCTCCGAGGCCCCGAAGGCGCAGACCGGCACGGCTTACCCCTGTCGCACGAGGAGACGGTCGTCCTCGAGGCCCTGCAAGCCGAACGCCGCCGCAGGGAGCAGACGGATCGCATCGCCGCCCGCCTCGCAGACCACTCGTCGGGCCCCACCCTGACGGCGGCGTTGACGGCGAGCGGCCGCCTCCCGCGGCCAGACAGCAGCGTCGCCAACAGCAACACCACCAACAACAACAACAACAACGAAGCGGGCGCTGACGACGTGGCGCGGGCTGTGCGTGAGGAAGAACGCGAACGGGAAGAGCGCAGCAACATTACGCGCGCCCTCAGCGACTGGCTGCACGACTCGCGCGAACGCGGCCAGGAGCGCGTGCGCTAGAGAGATGTAGTTGGGGTGATATACGTGTGTACTTGTGTATTTTTATTTATATACATGATATATGTGTAGTTCTTCTGTAGATCGCCTAGTTATAGATCTAGGGTACATCTAGATATATGCTCTATTGAGATTGTTCAT